ACACACACACACACACACACACACACACACACACACACACACACACAGGGACCTGAGAGTGTAGCTGGTCAGCCATGCTTGTCAACCCAATCTGGGCTAAGTGGGCTCCTCGGAAGCATCCTCTGGGAAGGGAGGTGGACAGGAAGGCCCAGTCCTACTTTTCTCTCTTCACCCATTCCTTGAAGATTTTCCTATGTACAAAGTGTGAGCAGCACACAGCATTTCCCCGTCCACCTGCAGAGCCACACTGTGCAGGACTCAGAAGCCCATCCGGGCTGCTCAACTTTCTTTTCTTCTTTTCAGTACTGGGGACTGAGTGTACTTCTTGTTAGCGAGTGCTCTACTACTGAACTGTATCTCAATCCCCCCCCCTTTGATCACGTTTTATTTATTTATTTTTTGCATAGAGGGTATACCCATGCCGTGGTGTACATGTGGAGGTCAGAGGACAAGTTACAGGAGCTGTTCCCCCTCCCCCTAAAACACACACACTTTTAACCACCTAGGTCTCCAGGATCGAATTCAGGTTATCAGAATGGATGACAAGGGTCTTTTTCCACAGAACGGTCTTGGCAGGTCCCCAGCCCCCTTTTTATTAATTTTTAGAAAATGATGTTGGGAGTTGAAACTGGGGCCTTGAACAAGCTCAGTATATCCTCAACCATTGGGCTGCCTCACAGCCCAAATCTAACTTTTTTTCCCACTGTGCCGTGCTGGGGACCCATGGCCTCTCGCACACTAGGGCGGAAGCTACAATTGGTTCCAGCTAAGGGCTCCTCCACACAAGTTCCGTTGCTTCTCCAGCCTTTTGTTTTGCTTTGTTTTGCTTTTTTTTTTTTTTACTTTTTTTTCCTCTTGTTTTAGTTAGAGTATCTTGTAGACCAGGCTGGGCTTGAGTTTGCTGTGTAGCCATGACTAATCTGGAGTCCCTCATCCTTCTGCCTCCAGTTCCAGAGTGCTGGGATCCCGGGTGTGTGGTACCATGGCCAGCGGCCTCAGACTTGTCCCGGATCTATGTTCCGGAGCCCCACTCTGTCTCTTTCCGTCTTCCTCATGTCTCTAACCACCTTCCAAACTCCTGCTACCCCACAGCCCTGGCGCTGTAAGGATTGGAGGGAAAGACTCAGTTTGTCATTTCACACCAAAGGTATCAAGAGTAACAGTGTCTTTCCTCATGGAGAGGCTTTCTTTTCATACGCCCTGGTACCACAGTGACCTGGTGAAGGCTGTCTCAGTGCCCTCACAAACCACCTGCCCTTACCAGGATGTCTAGATACAAGTTCTATGTCTTCCCCTCTCTCTTTCCTTCTCTTTCCTTCTCTTTCCTTCTCTGCTATACCCAGTCCCCAGCCTGAATGACTCCTGTGTGTGGCTCTCCAGGGTCATGGTTGGAGTGGGGCAGAGCACATGACGTATCTGTAGACGAAAGATGAGAAGGATGCTGGTTCCAAATCCTGTGTTTGCTCGGCAGAAATTCATCTTTTCTGGTCCCTTCCCTACACACATGTACGCACACATACACTCCTACCGAGGGGTACACAAACACAGGCACATGCAGATGTACACACATACACATTTCTTTGGATAACTTGTGTTTTAGTGGAACTCACGGTTGGGATACCGTCTCCAGTACTCAACCTTATCCACCTAAGCACAACAGAAGCTGCATTCCTTCTGTCTGATTCCTGACAGACCTAGGAAGAGCTGCTCAGGGCTTCCTTGCCCCTGCCTACCCAGACCTGTGGTAAGGGAAGAGTCTGCCTTCCCTTAGACCCCACCCCACTATTCTGCTCTTCCCCAGTTCAGTCTACGTTGGCCACTGTGGAGTAGCCACTGGGGTCCCATCCCTCTGAAATCCACAGCTTGTGTCCATGGTCTTGTGTTCACGGTTGGCACACATCCTGGCTTCCCCGGTCTTATGGCAGCCAGCGGGGTCAGCTCCCACTGAGTGTAGTGTGTGCCTCTCAACAGGCCATCTGCCTCCACATCATCCTCTAGGGGCTGCTGTGCTTGTCATCATTTTTCTTGATGGTCACATCTCTTTGGTTGGCTGGCTGGCCACTCTGATGTGGGGTATCCCATGGCTTACTCTACTCAGCAGGTAGAGTGACTCAGGCTAGTCATTCCTGGGTCTCAGGCTATTATGCAGGCTAGCTAACACATCTTCGTTCATTAGTTTGGAATGCCTCTACGGTAACCGGTTCCCCCATTGGCTTATTCACACATCACTGCCCTCTCCTGTTTTCATCGTGTGTGTGTGTGTGTGTGTGTGTGTGTGTGTGTGTCCTGCTGCTGAATTTTCACAGCTCCTGTTTGTGGTTTATAACTCTCTCTTCCACCGACCTCCATCCAGGGAGTATTTCCCCCAGTAACTCCTGGAGCATCTGCCCAGGCTTGGGAAGGGTGCCCACCAGCAGGATGGGGTTCCCTTCTGAGCTGTCGGGTGGTCTAGGGTAGCAGCCAGGCTGTTCACTGCCCCTCCTCACTCTCCCAGGTAGATGGCCCCCCAAGGGCAGGCCCTGCGGGCACCCCTCCCTCCGGCTGGCGGATGCAGTGCCTAGCGGCTGCTCTTAAGGACGAAACCAACATGAGTGGGGGAGGGGAGCAGGCCGACATCCTGCCGGCCAACTACGTGGTCAAAGATCGCTGGAAGGTGGTGAGTGACCTAGCGGGCAGAGGGAGGGGTCTGGGAAGGCAGAAGAAGAGACTTGGAGACTCTAAGACTGGTGCCCTTGGAGCCCTTACCATAAGTGGAAGGTGTCCCCGAGCTTATTTGCTTGCTTGCTTGCTTAAAGGTTATTTTTGCCCACACATTCTCCCATTACCCTCTCTCCAACCCAGCTCCCTCGCACCCCTTCCCGAGCTTGGTAGTGCCGGTCCAGTCCAGCCTGAACAACTCCTGCAGAGCCCGGGCTGCGGAGGAGGGTGTTGGGGGAGGGGGCTCCTTCTTTGCCGCACCTTGGGGAAGGACATTGAGTGAGCATGTGTTCCTCGGCTTCCGCAGAGGACGGAAGGCTTGGGTCTGAGGAAAGATGCCCTGCAGGCTGCTCCCACCGCATCCGCACTCCATCTCCTCTGTCCACCCTCCTCCCTTCCCGAGTTCCTGCGGCAGGTGCAACACGCTGAGACTCCATCTCCCAGCGTGCCTTGTTTCTTTAACTCAGGGCTTCAGTCTCCTTGGCCTGTTGGGAGTTGTAGTCCAAGTCTCTTCGTTGGGGGAGGATGGATGGGAGGGGGCTGTGTAAGGGTTGGAGCGGTGGTTGTGTCTAGGGAACCCTATTTACTGTCAGTCAGCCTCCATCCAAACCTTTCTCCTCATCGCTTCAGAGCACCCTGGTGTTCTCTTTATTGTAGGGTGGGCTAGTGCGGGATAGTATGGTGTGGGAAAAGTGTGTGCGACTGTGAGTCTGCATGGAAATGGAGATCCGGAGGGGAAGAAAGCACAGAGGTCAGATTTTCACCATGTGCAGTCATGGTGTTCGCGTGTGCGCGACCTTGTGCTTTGGTGTGGTGAGGCTCAGCTCACTAAGGGTGCTGGATTGGAGAGGAGGGTGGGGCCTGGGTGCAGGGAGATCTCCATGGCAACAGCCATCCGGCTGCGTAGGTCCCTTAGAGGTCCAGGGAGAGAGGCAAAGTGGTAGCATTTTCAAGAATTGGGAGTGCGGGTGTCAAAGAGCAGACTCTTAGGGCCCCTGAAGTGGGGCGGGGCGGGGGGCGTCCTGAAAGAAAGAGTGAAGAGAGTAGCTGGACAGAAATACAGGAGGAGCCAGGACAGCTATAAAAAGGAAGGGGTGTTTGGCAAAGTGAGAAACGCTCCTTTTTAAGACCCTCCAGGTCCCTGGCACATGAGCTCCGTGTCTGGCAGATGGTAGGCTGAATAACATTTGTACTGAAAGGCAAGAAAAAAGACTGTTGACACACACTGAGCTCAGACTAAGACTTTGTGCTTTGTGACGGAAAAGGCAGAGAGAGTTGGAGGGGAGGCGCATGTATATCAGACCTGGACTTTCCTCATGACTGTCTCCTGTTCGTTCCCCTGAAGGGCTGGGGAGACTAAGTGTCATTTGCAGCCATTTTCAGGGAAGGGTGGGATTGATGGAACCAAGAATCATGGATCAGAGATGGACTGTGACCCGAAACAAGGGTCAGCGTACTGGGAAGAAAATTTCTTTGTCCTTAAAAAAAAAAAAAAGTAAGTTGTTCATGGGGGGAGGGGTGGTCCTTGCAACCAGCATAGCAAACAACAGTAATAATATCTTAGTGTTTCTTCTGTGCCTTTCTTGGTCTGAGGTTGTAAAAGTGCCTCGGTGGGTTATATCAGGAACTGATGGAGTACCTACAGCAATTTCCAGCACACTCCTGCTTCATAGGTGTGATTAGCTAACTTGCTAAGTTCCTATGGTCAGAAGACAGGATCTGGTCCGTCAGTCATTAACACTGTCATCAAGATCGGCCCATCAGAGTTGGCACCTTAGGCCTGAAAGGTCCTTAGGACGCATTTCAAACTGATTCTCTTTTATTGGTAGAAAAAAATGAAGACTCAAAAAGTTCGAGAGACTTAGATTACTCTAGACTGTCCAGAGTGGGGCCAAGAAACAGGGTGTCCATTCCAAATAAACTGTAGCTCTCGTGTGGTGTAGCTTCTCTGGTTTAGAGAGGTTTTCCAGTAGGGGTGGGATTAAAACATAGAGGAGAGGAAAAATGGGGTCTGCAAATCCTTTGAATGGTGTTCTGTTAAGGGGGCTTTAAGCAGATCTGCCTGTAACATTCATGGGCCCTGGATGCTTTTGCCCTGGTGATATCTCTTTCTATATCAGGATACTAAAGACTGCATTTTATGACTGCCTTAGTATGGAGAGTCATATACTCATATTATAGACTCAGTTTTTTCTCTTTAATCTAAAAGTTCATGACTTTATCTTTTGATCTGAAAACAAGTTAAAATGTTTTCATGGATCCCCCAAAATGTGAGGGTCACTATAGCCAGTGGAAAAGTATGCCCTTCATCACAGGGCAGGAAGGAACGGATGCATGCAGAAGACTGGACCCCTGCTGTAAGGATAGATGGCAGATAGAGAAAGAATAGGCTCAGTTTGGGGAAAAGAGCAGCGGAGAAGTTGGGCTGTGGGAAGTTGAGGGGTAGGAATTGGGGAAGGTCCTGCCTGCAGGGATTCTTTCTGATGGCTTGTGTGTCAGCAATGCTCCGAAACCTCATGGGTTCAACACCAGTAGGTTCCGTCCCTGGTTATTTTCTAGCTGTGGCCCAGCCAAGGCATTTCAGGCCCTGGGCCTTGTGACTTTCCCTCAGTGCACTGTAGGGAGCCAGGCAAGCATCTTCACCTGTGCTGTGGACCCTAGGAAACTGGTGATGTCTGTGAGCCCCTCACTCACCTACCCTGTCATCTGTGCTCTCACACAGCAAGCTGTAAAAGGATGTGAAAGAGGTTAGTGTCTCCATGGTTAGAGCTAGCCCAGGACAAGAGTCTAGGTCTGCTCCTGCCTGGTTGTAAGGCTTCTGCTGTCTGGCTAGCTTCCATCCAGAGTAGGAAGGTTCCCTGGCTTCTTATTGCTCTTTTGCAGTGTCTTTCCTTGTTTCTCTCCCTGGCTCAAGAGACGTCACTTTTCCTCATAGCTCTGGCGTCTCTCCTGTCCTTTATTGTTAATATTTCTGACATTTATTGATGTGTGGTGTGGCTTCATGTGTCACAGCATGTGTGTGGATGTCAGAGGATAACTTGGAAAGCCAGCTCTCTCCTCCCTTTGTGGGCCTTGGGGAATCGAACTCAGGATGTCATGCTTGGCAGCAAGTGCCTTTACCTGCTAAGTTCTTACCCATGGGTCCCTCCCTTTCTTCTTCCCTACCTTCCTTTCTTTGGAGGCAGGGTCTCAAATATCCCAGGCTAAGCCCAGGCTGGTATTGAACTTGGATCTTCTGGCCTCTGCCTTCTTCCCAGTGCTGGGAATGATCAATGTGTACCACCATGCCTGGTGGATGTGGTGCCGGGGAGTGAACCTGGGTTTCATGTGTGCTAAGCAAGCACTCTAGTCACCAAGGTACACCCTTGGTCCCGCTCTCCTTTTAGGGAAGAAAAGATGCAGGCTGACCTATGATCTTTAGAGCCCTGTGTCATTCCATGTCTCCATGTCCCATCGAAGCCAGGTGTCTTTTATCTTCTGCTCCTATTCAGCGATCTGTCTGGAGCTGTGTGTTGGAAGGGGTCTATGCTTCTGGGTTGAGCTGTCTGTTTCAGAGGAGAGGAGTGGGCACTGACACACTCGCCATCAGTGGAGGTGGGGTGAGGAGCTGTCCAGCTTGATCCCTGAGCACCATTCTCCTCCACAGCTGAAGAAGATCGGGGGTGGGGGCTTCGGTGAGATCTACGAGGCCATGGACCTGCTGACCAGGGAGAACGTGGCTCTCAAGGTGGAGTCGGCCCAACAGCCTAAGCAGGTCCTCAAGATGGAGGTGGCTGTGCTCAAAAAGCTTCAAGGTACCGCCCTGGGGCGGGGCATGGGAAGGAGGAGGGTGGAGCCAGGACAGCGGCTAGGAGAGCAGAGGAGTGATGGAGAGTGAGGGAGGCCCTGGGCTGGAAATGGCAGAGTGAGGTGGATCCTGGGCAGTTGGGCCAAAGTGTTGGGAAGGAGGTGGGGCTAAGGGTGGGGCCTTCCTGGCTGGGGACAGGGCTCAAAGGTGTACCAGAGCGATGGATAACGGCTCCAAGACTAAAGCACTGGCCTTGCAAGCATGAGGAGTTCTTAAGTTCAGATCCCAGAATCCACCTAAGAACTAGGTGGGCATGGGTGTGGTGTACATACATGCCGCAAAAGTGTGTGTGTGTGTGTGTGTGTGTGTGAGAGAGAGAGAGAGAGAGAGAAACAGAGACAGAGACAGACACATTTATAGAGAGATGGGCAGACACGCAGAGATGGAGAGAGAGAAACAGAGAGAGAGACAGAGAGAGACATAAAGACAGAGAGAAACAGAGACAGACACATTTATAGACAGACAGACAGACAGACACACAGAGAGAAACACACACACAGAGGCAGAGAGACAGACACTCACAGAGAGACAGACAGAGATAGACAGAGTCAGATAGACAGAAACACAGACACACATTCACAGAGAGCTCAACAGACACAGAGACAGCGAGAGAAGGAGGGAGAGGGGAAGAGAGAGGGAGGGAGAGAGAGAGAGAAAGAGAGAGAGAGAGAGAGAGGGAGAGAGAGAGAGAGAGAGAAGGAGAGGGAGAGAGAGAGAGAGAATATGAATGTACCAGAGCTTGCCTGGGTGGTGAGGAGGGAAGTGGGACTGGGGAGGCCCCCGTGTTTGTGTTCTCCAGGGAAGGACCACGTGTGCAGGTTCATTGGCTGTGGCAGGAACGAGAAGTTTAACTATGTGGTGATGCAACTCCAGGTGCGTCCTTGGGGTCCACCCACCTGCCTCTTTCCCTAAGAACTGGAGAGTGGCGCGGGTGGGGCATAGGGTAGGGGGCATTGATTCCTGATGGGGTGGGTACACTGTGGGGCAAGGCTGGGTGGTCAGAGTGGCTCAAATGAGTCTCCTCCTTCCCACCCTATCCTGTTCACCCCGCCCAGGGCCGGAACCTGGCCGACCTGCGCCGCAGCCAGCCGAGGGGCACTTTCACGCTGAGCACCACACTGCGGCTGGGCAAGCAGATCCTGGAGTCCATCGAAGCCATTCACTCTGTGGGTTTCCTGCACCGCGACATCAAGCCGGTGAGCAACACGCCTCAGTGCTCCCCTGCTCTGTGAGCAACGTGCCTGAGTGCTCCCCTGGTCTGTGGGTCCTCGCGGCATGCCTGAGTGCTCCTCTGGTCTGTGGGACCTTGCTTCCCCGCCGCAGTGGTTGGGCCTGAGAGCCTCTTCTCTTTGAACACTTCCTGATTTGTACCAAGCCACAGCTCCTCTTTCTCACCTCTTGGCCACCCAGGCAGAGCGCCCCCGGCTCTCCATTTATCCTCATCTCTCACGTGTGACCCTGTGTAGTCCTTCAACCTAGAGGCGATGAGGTCAGGAGGAGATACCTTACTTTCTGTGGCATCCTGATGCTAGAAAAACAAAGTAAAATCCTTTACTATAACAGGGTAAAAAGAAGCCAGGGCATGGGGTGGGGTGGAGGTGGTGTTCGCCTTTAATCCCAGCACTCAGGTGACAGGCGGAGCTCTATGAGTTCGAGGCCAGCCTGTCCTACAGAGTGAGTTCGAGGACAGCCAGAGCTATACTGAGAAACCCTGTCTTGAAAAATCAAAATAAATAAATAAATAAATAAATAAATAAATAAATAAATAAAATAAAGAAATAAAAGGGTAAGATGAGGAACCTGGGAAGGCCGCGTGAGTGGCCTAAGGGCACACAGCAAGAAGGGTGCAGGGCAGGTGGTTTCCAGCAGGGCAGCTGTCACCGCACTGCGTGCTGGGGAGCTGAGGACTTAGAGCAGGATGGGCCAGAGCTCAGAGCTGGTTCTGTCCAGTTCTGTGAGTCAGAGATGCCCTCTCAGCCTTGGACGCCACCCGATTACTGTATCTCTAGATCGAGGGTAGTCACACATTCTCTGTCGTTGAGATGCCGCAGCCGGTCGTACTCATGTGACTGGGTGCACGTGAGAGTCCACGGGTGGGGGAGGAGCCCTCGACACAGGCGTAGCCATTCCTTATTCGCTCACGGCTGCTGTCTTCCCGCAGTCGAACTTTGCCATGGGCCGGCTGCCCTCCACCTACAGAAAGTGCTACATGTTGGACTTTGGGCTGGCCCGGCAGTACACTAACACCACGGGGGACGTCAGGCCTGTGAGTACTACTGGGTGTCAGGATGGTGGGTGGCTCTCCCCGCTCTGTGGTATGGGATACCTCACTGTTTCCCTTGTAGCCACCTCAGCGGGCCTGTCTATCCTTGAGTATCAGTCATCCAACCCTGGGGTGACAGCCTGGCCCACTCTCCTGCCTGGGCTCCTGGGATCAGGATGAGGTGGCCAGTTAGGTGGTAGGGTCAGCAATGTGGACAAGGTGGTGTCTCTTCTCTATAGCCTCGGAATGTGGCCGGGTTCCGGGGGACTGTCCGCTACGCCTCGGTCAACGCTCACAAGAACCGGGTGAGTGAGCAGCCTGGGCTAAGGGCTGAGGGCAGAGAGAAAAAGTCAGTCGTAGCTGCAGTCCATCACTGAGGAAGCCTGGAGTTAGAGGAAGGCTTAACATTGGCTGTCCCTGATGTCCTTCTCTTCTGGGCCTCTGTCATCTCCCCTTCCACTGAAAATCCCTGGGGAAGGGACAGAACATGGTCAGAACTTTTCACCGTGGTGCTCTGTGTATGCTAAGGTATACAGTCGCCCACAGCTTCAGAGAGACCCCCAGGGTTGTCTATCTGGGTCGGGTGATCAGGACCCTCTGACAGAAGTCTCCTAGTCTAGGGTCCACCCCCCATCCCCAGGGAAGGACTTGAGAGCCCCCGGTGACTTCCCTTTTACCTCCCAGGAGATGGGCCGTCATGATGACCTGTGGTCTCTCTTCTACATGCTGGTGGAGTTTGCAGTGGGCCAGCTGCCCTGGAGGAAGATCAAGGACAAGGTACGCTCCCCACAGCTGGGTGGACGAGGCAGAGGGTGGAGCAGCGGGGACTCTATCTCCTGTGCCGTGTCCCCTCCAGGAGCAGGTGGGGATGATCAAGGAGAAGTACGAGCACCGCATGCTCCTGAAGCACATGCCGTCTGAGTTCCACCTCTTCCTGGACCACATCGCCAGCCTTGACTACTTCACCAAGCCCGATTACCAGGTGTGACCCCCAGCCTGGGGCACCCCTGGGAAGCTGCTGGCCCTCCAGCAGTGGCTGCCCCCCTACGCCCTGGCAAACAGTAGTCACTGTTATGATTTCTCAAAAGCTGACCTTCCCAGTGTCAGTGCTGGGCTTGGGATATCGACTCCAAGCTTCAAAATAAGGATCTGAGGCAGGGCGTGATCGTGTGCACCTTTAATTCTAGATGTGGGGGAAGGGAAGCAGATGCCTCTGTGAGTGTGAGGACAGTCTAGTCTCTGTTCTGATTGAGTTTCAGGGCATCTGGGACATAGTGAGACCCTGTCAAAAAAAAAAAAAAAAGAAAAAAGAAAAAGAAAGGATCCTTTAAGGACCACGATGTAGCCAGAGTGGGAGTGGCATAGGCGTGGCTCGTGTCTTTAATCCTAATACTCAGGAGGCAGAGACAGGTGCATCTCTGTGTGTTCCAAGCCAGTTGGTCTACAGAGTGAGTTCGAGGATACCCAGAGAAACTGTCTTCAAAAACAAACAAACAACAACAACAACAACAAAGGAGTCTTTAAGGATCATGATAACACATTTGACAGACAGCAGAGTTCTGCAGGAACTGGGATGATTGTTCTTGGATCATAGATGGAAAACTGAGGTTAGACACTATGGCAAAGAGAGCAGGGCTGGGCTCAGAGACAGTCCTGCGTCTCTTAGTGACAGGGAACAGACTGAGAAATCTGTCCTTAACCTGTCACTGTATGGTCATCGTAGAGTTCACTTCCTGAACCAGGACAAGCCCTCCCCTTCACACACCCTGTCCCTTCAGTGTGGCAGACAAGAAGAGATTAGCTCAAACTCAGGAGAAAATGGCTCAGACAAGAGACATAGTAAACAGAAGACTCCCAAACTTCTCCCGGCCTAACACAGCGTGCCGTAGCAATTCTGCTGTTTTTCTGAGACAGGGTCTCATGTCCTCAAACTGACTGTGTAGCTGAAGATAACCTTGAGCTTCTCATCCTCCTGCCTCCACATCCCAAGTGCAGATACTATAGCTGTATGCCACTGGTGTTCCACTATGCCTGAGCATGGATCCAGAGCATCCTGTGTGCTAGGCAAACAAACGTCCTACTAAGGGAGATACATAGCCAACCCTAAGAAACTAATTTTTTTTTGGAAGTAGAGGTCACATGCTCTGAAATAGTGATTGAAAAAAAAAAACAGCATTGCCTTGTGTGGTGGTACACAGCTGCAGTGTCAGAACTCAGGGGGCAGAGGCAGGAGGACTGTGAATTTGAGGGCAGCCTGGGCCACATAGGGAGACCCTGTTTCAACAACAACAAAATCAGGGCTAGAGAAATGCTTCAGTGATCAGTAGGCGCATGCTACCCTTGTACCCAGGTTCAGTTCCCAACACCCATGCCAGGAATTTCACAACCAAATGTAACTCTAACTCCAGGGAACCTGACACCATCTTCTGATACCCATGGGTACCTGCATTCATTTGTATACCCTGCCACCACACACACACACACACACACACACACACACACACACACACACACCCCTACCCCCAAATCAAACACAGTATAATGTATCACACATAATTGTGTGCATCACATTCTGTATATGACCAGGCCAGTGTCACCACACACTGGAGTAATGTCAACACCTAGGTGTCACATGGCCAGGTGATAGGAATTTTCCACTTCTCATCCATCTCATACCTCATATCCACCACTCTGGTGAGGGACCACTTAACTGACTCCAGGTCTAATGCTCTCGCCATGGCTTCATCACAACACCTCATGGGACCTACTGACATTGGAGAATGGAGAGACACACCATCAGTGCTTGCCAGAAAGCCACTCTGGATGAGGCACAGTGGGGAAGCAGGCCGTGTCAATCACAAAGCAGACACTGAAGCAAGCCGGTCCTGTCAGCAGAATGCCTGCCCTGGGCTCTGAAGAAAACCAGCCCAACGCTGGATAGCCTGGGCTCCTTGGAGGTCTGGTACCCACCTAATACCTCTTGAATGCAGCGTCCCAGCTGCTGGTCGAGCTGACACCCTACTCCTTGTCCTGGTTCAGTCTCATGGAGTTCTGGTCGACATAGTTATGACCACCTACATGCCGAGTCCTGCAATGGCTGCTAGAGGTGTCGAGTTGGCAGGGAGCTGTGGAAGTGTTGCAAAAATGGATGCTCTGTCCCCAGTGAGGAGACAGAAGCCACATGAGTGAGCGAGTCAGGTGACAGGAGAGGACAACAAGAGAGGCACCTACCAGAGCCATTAGCCTGAGGAGAGGAGAAAGCACAGGGAAACCCAAGTGGTTCAGAGCTACTGGTGTACCTGTCAAGGTGACAGAAATGACAGAAGGGTCTGGAGACTGTTCTTGAGGGACAGATCTCAGAGGACTAGGATCCATCTGGCAGGGCTTAATCCAAGATGATAAATGGTATTCTGCTTTGTGTTATGTTTTCATTTAAAATCAATGTGTGTCCCCTGTAGGCCCATCCCTGACCTGGAAGACTCCCCCCACTTCCTGCATTCGCAGGTATAGTCCCTTCCACCTAGCTAGCCCTGGGGTCACCTCTCTGTCCTCCTGGCCTCCCCATCCCCTGCAGTTGATCATGTCGGTATTTGAGAACAGCATGAAGGAGCGAGGCATTGCCGAGAACGAGGCCTTCGACTGGGAGAAGGCAGGCACCGATGCCCTCCTGTCCACGAGCACCTCCACCCCACCCCAGCAGAACACACGGCAGACAGCAGCCATGTTTGGGTGAGTCTGAGCAGGGGCATTATGGTGAGTAGGGTGGCCAGTGACCCTTACCTGGAGCTATCATCTGAGAAGCCAGCCCTCTCCTCCCACTGGGGTGTCTCCTAGTCTTCATGCTAGACATCAGAGTCCTGTACCTTTGAGGTAGTCCATCACAGCCATGCCCTGAATCTGAGCATGGCATAGACATCATCTAGGGAAGAAATCCGGGGTGAAATGACTTGACCCCCATAGTCTCTCTCTCTCTCATTGTAAATAATGAACATGTCTCACACCATGTAAACACCACAGCGGCTCAGGGAGACGTTAACCCCTGTCTTCAGAGGACCTCAGCTGATGCTGGAGTGTTTGCAACCATGTGGTCAGTAATTTCAGAGCCACATGAGGCACACAGAGCGAGAGGACCCTGACTCAGAGGGCTCCTGCCTGTGTCAGTCAGGGTTCTCCAGAGGAACAGAACTTACAGAATGACTCTGTTTCTCTGTAGGAAGGAGATCTATCAGACTGGCTTGCAGGCTGTGGTCCAGCTAGTCCGTCAATGGCCATCTATCAGTGAAAGGTCCAAGAATTAGTAGTTGTTTAGTTCATGAGGCTGGATGTCTCAGCTGCTCTTCGATGTACACCAGAGACCTGAAGACGTAGGGTGTATGCCAGAGAAGGAATGGAGTTGCTAGGGAGAAGAAGCAGGCAGAGAGAGGGAGGGGGTGTCCTGTCCAGCAGGACATTAAACAGGGGTCTGGGGAGATCACCTGAAAGAGAAGATGGGGGAACAGGCGAACACAAGGAACACGGCTTGTCTATAGGCTGATCAAACCATAATTTTTACTTTTTCACACACGGGTTATAAACACAAAAAGGCAGGATGTAGGGAAGGGGATGACACAGGAGCGTAGGTGTTCAGGGGGAGTACAGATATCTTCCAGAACAGAGTGTCAGCTGGGTGAAGGTTCAGGGGACAGGTCACTATGACTCCTCCTATGATTCACTTGTCCTTATCTAAGTTGGTACTATCCACCAAGGCTACCTATCTACAAGGTCTGTGTATTCAGCCTGGCAATTTTCCACCAAGACTTGGTGCTATGTATGTCAGGCCTATGGCTGATTTTAGGCCTTCAATGTAGAAGCAGGGCTGCTCCTGACACACACACACACACACACACACACACACACACACAGAGAGAGAGAGAGAGAGAGAGAGAGAGAGAGAGTTTCCTTCTTCCATGTCCCTTTATATAGGCTGCCAGCAGAAGGCGTAACTCAGATAAAAGGTGGATTTTATGACTTCAAAAGATCTGAATTAAAGGTGTATCTTCCCACTCAGACATCAAGATTGGAAGTGGCTCTTCCCGCTTCAAATGATTTAACTTCGAAAAAAAAAAGTCCCTCACAGCGTCCCTAGCCATTTGGATTTTATTTAACTCCAGATGTGGTCAACCAAGATTCCAGATGTTGACAGCCAAGATTAGCCATCACACTACCCAATCCAGGGCCATCTTTAGGAAGGAGATGTCACAGAAATTGCGGGCATGCTATGGTAGCCCAGAATTGTGATGAGGTTGCAGAGGGAAGTCGGGTGTGATGGTTTATATCTGTAATTCCACCATTGGAAGAGGAAGGCAGGAGGATCATGGGTTTGATACTAGCCTGGGCTATATAGGAAGACCTTGTTTTAAAAACAGAAGAAGGGCCTTGGGATAAGGCTCCATGGATAAAGCATTTGCTATCCAAGCATGAAGTCCTGAGTTTAGGTCCCCAGAGCCCACATAGAGGGGACAGAGTAATTTTTGTGTTTCTGTGGTGATGTGGGAGGCAGAAACAGAAAGACCCCTGAAGCTTGCAGGTCGGCCAGCCTGATGCATAAGAGAACCTTACCTTAGTGGATCCTCTGATCCCTGTACTCAGGAGGCAGGAGCAGGCAGATCTCTGGGAGTTTGAGGCCAGCCTGGTCTACAGAGCAGGTTCTGGACTAGCCAGGGCTATATAGTGAGACCTGTCTCAGAACACAAAGGAAATAAGTGAACAGAAACAAAAAGCAAGGTGAAGGGCTGTAGAAGGCACCCTGCATCAACCCCAAGCCTCCACAGTGTATACACACACACACACACACACACTCACACTCTCCCGCAGAACTAAGTCTGGAGGTAGGAAATGAGCCCACATATGAGACTGTCATCTGACCTCTGTGAGCATGCTGTGTCCTGGACACTTGTGTATACGCGTTCACAAAGATAAAAACAAACAAAAATCAGAAAGGAAAGAAATTATTTAAGGAGTGAAATAATGGTGCTGGAGTGTGGCTTAGCAGGCACACGGGCTTCTCTTGCAGAGGATCTGGGTTCAATTCCCAGCACCCACACTTATTCCCAGTTGTCTGTAACTCCAGCCCGAGGGGGTCTGATGCTCTCTTTTGGGGTTTTTTCAGGCACCACACACACACAGTGCACATACACACACACACAGAGAAAACACTCATAGACACAAAACCAACATAAATAAATCTCTTTTTAAGAGGTTTACGGAAACCGCTCAAAGGTGTCATTTTTAGACTTCCCCCAAGTGTAGAGGAAGTCTGACCCCCCAACAGTGGACTGTAGCAAGGGCTGGGGAACCCACAGATCTGAAAACATGGGGCTCAGGGGAGATGTGCCAGTCCCTGCTGGCCTCATCTTCTCGCAGCCCCTGCCACCCTGAGGGCCAGGGATGGCGACAGGCCTCTTCTGTGTCCACTCTGGCGATGGTCCCCAGAGCCTGTGCTAGCATAGAATAAAGGAGACAGTGAGAAATGAGGCCTCCCAGGCAGGTCCCCTAGCCTCTAACCCCTGACCCCTGACCCCTGACCCCTGACCCCTGACCCATGACTCTCCCTGGCCTCCCTAGAGTGGTCAATGTGACACCGGTGCCTGGGGACCTGCTTCGTGAGAACACTGAGGATGTGCTGCAGGGAGAGCACCTGAGTGACCAGGAGAACGCACCCCCAATCCTGCCCGGGAGGCCTCCAGAGGGCTTGGGCCCTGGTCCCCACCTTGTCCCCCACCCTGGGGGTCCTGAGGCTGAATTGTGGGAGGAGACAGATGTCAACCGCAACAAACTGCGCATCAACATTGGCAAAGTAAGTGCATCCAGGCAGAAGGGTGTGGGCGGCCTTCCCCACCTGGTTCCCAGGCCTGGGCCCCACCCACCCTGACTACCACCCCTCCCCCACATCTCCCACCCTGAGAAAGCCTCTCACCCACAGCCAGCTTGTCAGCCCCAACTCACAGCACCCCCTCTTCGGCAGACCCCCTGTGTGGAGGAAGAGCAGAGTCGAGGAGTAGGGGTCCCCAGTTCCCCAGTGCGTGCCCCCCCAGACTCCCCAACAACCCCAGTGCGGTCTCTGCGGTACCGGAGGGTCAACAGCCCAGAGTCGGAGAGGCTGTCTACAGCCGCGGATGGTCGGGTGGAGCTGCAGGAGAGGAGGTAAGTTTGTATACAGGGGTTCAGGGTGACTGGACATGTCAAAGGCCTTCTGCCCCCCCCACCCCCCCAGCTTCAGCATGGCTGCCCTGTGAAAGGTCATCTATGAGGCTTAGAAGGGACCTAGAAAGTACGGTGAGGGTCAGGCGCCACAGACCAGAGGTCAGGTGCTGGCCTATGGTGGGGCATCCATTCATGATATGAATTGAGAGCAGGAGGGACCCAGCAGGAACCCAGCTGGTGAGAGACAGGCCGAGAGGGAAGACTCAGGGAATTGGCCTTTAGGAAGTGGGAGGAGGGTAAAGTTGGCCATGGGTCGGGTGGTGCTGGTAGGGATAGACCAAGTCACACTTGGGTGGGTGGGACACCAGGCTGGAGATCACCTGGAAGATGAAATGTCCCTGACTCTCTTTGCCTCTGAGGATTTCTGCCCCATTGTAGACCAGGGCCTTGTCTGCACTAGGAAATATAGAAGAGGCTCTCTCTCGGCCCTGCAGGAAGAAGGCATTCTTTTTGATTTCTGCTCAGTGTCTTTCCTAATGACCCCCATCAGCCATGGCCCCTCCCCCAGACTCTACCCTAAACTGTCGTAGTCCTAAATTGAACACGGTGCCAGTTTGCAGGGCCTTGGGGGTGCATGTGTAGACAAACTCAAGACAGGTCTGTGTCCCTGAGTGTATGACAGCTCACACTCACTTACCTGGGCTGTCCTGCCAGGCACCAGAGACCTTGTCTTCACCCAGGGTAGCATGGAGTCCTTCAGTACAAAGGATTCTGGACATGGAGAAGTAAGGAAGGGATATGTGTGGAGACCAGAGGGGCAAGGGTTCTGAGCAAGACAGTTTTGAAGAGCTACCTGCTTAGGAGGAACACTGAGCGGGTTGGTTTGGGTCACAGGCAGCGCCACTTGAGGAGTGGTAAAAAGAGGCAGGCTGAAGAGAGTTTCTGCTACAGCAGGCTCAGGACGTCACAGACAGGGAAGGGGGGTAGGATGGCATTTGGTGGCACTTGGGGCACAAATGGGGTAGACAAGGCTGGGGTGGCCTAGCTGTCATCGACACACACAGGGACATGTGTGTGCATAATTCACCTCCTGTTTTGTTACCTTCTGTCCTTTATGTCCCTCAGAATGAGGTGTGCCCTTAGGAAAAGAAATTACAGCCATTTACAGGGAGTCCCAAGGCGGCCTCTGTCAACGGTGTTTTATTTTAAGCCTTACTAACAAATCGATACAGATATGGTGTAGAACAGGATTAGACAGTCGCCATGCAGGCTGGGCGGGGTCTTTTGAGACTGCTTAACAGGAAGTTCCTCTCTGTGCATCCCCCATTTGCAGCTGAGTCACTCACAGAATATCAGTCAGAACCCTGCCCATAGCCAAAGGGGAGATGGGTTACAGGTCCCGGATGAGTTAGGCCTGGTGGCTTTCCTGCTATTCTGGAGTTTAAGAGCCAACACTTTTTCTATATGTGGCATCTTCCTTTACTGAGCATGCGTGCGTTAGCACACACACACACACAGAGTGCAGCCACATTGTACAAGAAGCTTGCTCACTTGGGGCTGGTGCCATGGCAAGCAGAGATTTGAGTGTCATGTGAGAGTCACAGGCACAGTTCAAGGTAGTAACAGATGTCCTGGGCAGGATCTGTGCCCTGAGGTCAAAGGCTAGAGGAAACCAGGCCCTGCCTGGCAGATATCACAGTCTATCTGTACAGATAAACCAACAGACCTGAGGTCTGTGGTGTGGTGGGGGCTCAGGGTGCCTTGCGGGGACAAGTCCGTGCAGGAAGGGAAGGGCTCACTATAGGAAATGCGTCAGACTAGAATTCAGGGAGCAAAAGGTAGTACAGGCTGTGGGGATGGGGATGGACAGTTCAAGAAAAAGTTCTGAAACAGACCCGCTTAGGGAAAAGGTAAAACATCGGGTTGCCGGGCTCTGGGTGCGTGCTAAGGAATGCAGACTTCAGCTTGTGCCTGGGGACCAACAACGAAGCCCTGCCTGCCTGGGGTTATAAAGCACCAGCTGGGCAGGACTGGAGGCTGTCGCTGCTGGAGCTGGAAGCCATCTGTAAACTCAAGAACCAAGAGGGAGCCACAGATGGAGTGTGAGTACCCGATGGGTGTTGGAAAGACTAGATTCCCTGGGATACCCCAGAGAGGGCTAAGTTCATTCTGCACCACGCTCATGTTCCTGGACTGTGGTAAGCGGTAAGGAACCTTTGTTGAATGAATGCTCGGTAACCGGATAGATGAAGTGAAGTGTTTGTAGCAGCTGATGTTGAAAAACCTGCTGCTGGCTTGATGTCCCCAGGGCTTCAGAGGCCCGCACTGAACTCCGTGTGGATGGTTCTTGCAGGTCACGGATGGATCTGCCTGGTTCACCGTCACGCCAGGCCTGTTCCTCACAACCAGCTCAGATGCTATCAGTAGACACAGGCCACGCTGACAGGCAGGCCAGCGGCCGCATGGACGTGTCAGCCTCCGTGGAGCAGGAGGCCCTGAGCAACGCCTTCCGCTCAGTGCCACTGGCTGAGGAGGAAGACTTTGACAGCAAGGAGTGGGTCATTATTGACAAGGAGACAGAGCTCAAGGACTTCCCTCCTGGGGCTGAGCCTAGCACATCAGGCACCACCGACGAAGAGCCCGAGGAGCTTCGGCCGTTGCCTGAGGAGGGAGAGGAAAGGAGGCGTCTGGGGACAGAGCCTGCTGTCAGGCCGCGTGGACGTGGTATGCAGACACTGGCAGAGGAGGACCCACGGCAGATGCTGCCCCAGCCTGCACCACCTCAGTCGAGCCAGGCTGATGGCCGGTCAGAGACATCACAGCCACCCACGCCTGGCAGCCCTTCCCACTCACCCCTGCACTCGGGACCCCGCCCTCGACGGAGAGAGTCGGATCCCACAGGCCCTCAGAGACAGGTAAGACTGGGCTTGTGTATTACTTGCCTATCCAGAGATCCCTAGAGTTGTACAAGCAGCCCCGGTGTGTTCCACATTGAGGTGGGTGCCTCTGGCCTAGGAACCCAGCAGTGACAAAGCCGTGTTGGAGACAGACAGGTGTAAAAGCCCCACATCGTGTGTGGGGAGAGAGGAGACCTAAGCTGTGGGTTAGGTCTTGTATTGTGAGCAGCTCAGCTAGCTGACAAGGGGGAGAAAGGCCTTTTGGGCCCTGGGGATAGTGTGTACAAAGCCCAATGGTGACACTCTTCAGCACGGTATTGCTTTAAGAAGATGAGGCTGTGAAGCAGGCCCTGGGGCTGTCACAGACTTGATCCTGATGGCTTGGTAACCCACCGATGGCTTTTAAGTTGGAGTATGGCACTGTGGTGGCTTTGAGACCTTGGGGTGGTCCCTTGGGCTGCCTGGTAGACCATGTATTGAAAGGGTAAAATGTTAGAAGCAGGAAGGCCTCGTATGGGGGCATCAGCGGGAACACCCTGGTGGCCTGGGGCAGGAAGTAGACTGTGACCTGAGGTGAGGTGGATGGAGGACAGAAGGACTGTGATGGAGGGCGGGCTGGGGGTGGCTGGGATCTTACTAGATGCCTGGGACTCTAGGTGGCAGCGATACTGTAGCTGAGTGTCTTTGCAGCCTTGTGCGTGGGTTCAGGTTGGATGTAACGACCCCTTGATATCTGAGGGATGGCCATGTTGTGTTCATCCACTGCTCCGGAGAGAGACCTCACTGAACCCGTAGGAAACATGGGAGTGGGTAATGTCACCCAGGAGAACCATGCGGGGTGGGGAGACCCAAGAGTTAGGGCAGAAGCTAGGACACGCTGAGAGGAAAGGGGTCCTTCATCCCGACCCAGGAGGGGTCAGAGCATGGGAGAGGCTCTAGAGAAGTGAGCAAGCTCAGGGAGAGACAGGGCTGGTGGTCAGCACACCATGCCCATCAGGGAAAGCTCTGGGAAGGAAAGCCTGCACAAAGCCCCGGGTTCCATTCCTTGTGCCTCGTAAAACTAGATTTGTCGGTGTACACGCCTCAATTCCAGTTCTTAGGACATAGTTGCAGTAAGACTGGAAGTTTAAGGCCTGAGTTCACAACAGGCATGTTGGGAGCCCTGTCTGGCTTCAGTGGTGTCATCTTCCTCCTCTTCCTCCTCCTCTTCCTCCTCCTCTTCCTCCTCCTTTTTCCTCCTTTTCTTCCTCTTCCCCCTCCTCTTGGTCCTTCTCCTTTTCTTCTTCTTCTTCCTCTCCTCCTCCTCTCCTCTTGGTGTTCTGAGACAGGGTCCCACTGTGTAGCTCCTCGGACTGGTTTCTAATCCCTTTGACTCAGCCTTCAGCGCATGTGAGATTACAGACCTGCTTAGTTCTCCTAGTTTAGGAGAACGGACATTTGTATTAAGATCTAGGAACAGTTTTCAAAAACCGGGAGGAGGGAGATAAAGGATGGGGTGGAAACGCTGCTCTGAGGATCTGAAGCATGTCTCATGGAGGAGGAAGGGAAGAGGGGGAGAAGGAGGTGGTGGTGGTGGTGGTTGTGGTGGTGTGTGTGTGTGTGTGTGTGTGTGTGTGTGTGTGAGAGAGAGAGAGAGAGAGAGAGAGAGAGAGAGAGAGAGAGAGAGAGAGAGAGAAAGCGCTTGTTTCCTGTCAAGGACAGCCCTGTCAGACTAGGTTTGTGAGCTGCTGCTCTGGCCAGGCTTCTCCGTGTGAGATAGCCACTGACCTCTGACCGGGAAGTGAACATCAGTTCAGTTCTTGCACCGTGTGCTGAACTGAGTCTGAAAGAGACTCAGGTCTGCGGCTTGCTCTACTTGATGATCTTATGTTGGGGCTCTGTGTGATATGGGTCCCAGGTATGGATCTAGGAGCCAGCTCTGCCAATCCATCAGGTTGGCAAGCCTGGCCTGGAATGACATGGGTACTTCAACAGGGCAGTTCTGGGGAAGGGTGTAGTGGGTTTCTTTATGCTTTCTAGAGATGGCGCTGTGATCCACAGTCCTGGAGAATATTTAAGTGGTCTTACCTTATACTCTGGAAATAGCACTGAAAGACTAGGGGCCATGAGTCCCATCCAGAGAGGCCCTGGCTAGCTTGGTGTGGAGGCTTCTCCTGGCAGGGTGTGAGCTGATATGCTTAGGCTTGCCCCAGTCACTGTCCCCACAAACGGCTCTAGGGACGGTGGGGGACAAACAAGATGTTCTCAGGACTTCTTACTCCCCGTTCTTCTTCATCAGCACCAGAGCATTTGTCATCTGCCTGGTGACAGATACCAGAAGGACCGTCACAAGGGGTGGATCACTAGGAAATGCAGAGTGGGGGTGGGGGTGGGCACAGACAGTGGCACTGGAGTGGAGAGAAACTCAGATGAAGGTTGCTTCTCTGATCTGTTGTTCCTTCCTGGTCACTGTGAGCCAGCCACTGTCCCTTGCTGGGTCTCAGAACAGGAGAGCCAGGCTTGGTCTGAGGTTACTCTCCCTCACTGACTCATGTGTACATCCTGAGTGTCACGCTGACACTGGGGAGCTCTTTCCAGACCAGGGAAAGGCCTGTTGTGCAGTTGTGCTATACGGCATGGACAGGAAAGGGGGTCTCGTCTGTGGGGTAAAGTGCATGTGAGCATGTGTGTGGGTGTTTGCCAGACTCAGTTTCCCCACACTGTGCATAACTGAGGTTGTTTAAATTCTACAGTTTTTCGTGTGCTTCTCTGAGCCCAGCGTTCTTGTGCGTGCATCAGTGTGTGGACGTGGATGTCTGTGCACATGTCATCGCATCCATGTGGGGTGTGGGTCACGTCTGGGAGCTTGTAGGGGAGCTGGACCAGGGAGAATAATGAATGATGAGAAAGCTAACAGTGATGGCTACCGACAGGGGACACTGGAAGACACACTTGCAGAGACATGCATGTGACCTGCCAGGCCTAAGTAGCAACACTATACGCAAGCAACTTTGACTTCCAAGGTGGAGAAACAGCATCAAGTGGTAACAACCTAAAATAAATAAGCAAGCTTTCTGGCTGGAGCTACCAATTGGAAGAGCTGGGGCTTGAAACCAGGCAGCTGGGTCAGGGTCTCTCTGGGAACCACAGATCTAAGGCATGTGTGTTGAAGACAGGAGCGGACAATCTGCGCAGGCTCAGAGAGCATAGGGCATTCACATGTGTATGTGTACATGCACGTGCCCGCCACACCAGCTGGCTGGCCCTCACTGCCGGACGTGCCTGATGGCGTATCAGTGTGCACAGTGGTCTGGGGTTGCCCATGGGTGAAACAGAAGGGACAGGGCATGTTCTATATTCAGGATGAGGCAAGACCTTAGTTTTCCAAGTCAGAGGGAGCGAATGTGACTTGTGTCTGCTTCATTGTTGGGGGTGGACTTGGGTTAGGCAGGGGCTGCATGCTTTGTGGCACCTTTCGATAAGCCTGTGAAACTCTTCTCCACTCCTGGATGACTAGAAAGAACTCCCACCCCATTCTTCACCACCTCTCTTAGAGGAATCCCTACTAGGCCTGGTGTTGCAAGCTGAGTTTGATGTGTGAACAGCTTGGGAGCAGGTGTGGGGCTAGGCGCTGGGTTGTTCCCTGGTGTGCAACTGTGTGCATGTGTGCGGTGCTTCAGGTGCAAATTAGCAGGAGTCAAGGAGACAGCTCAGCTCGGGCAGAGGGAACACAGGCAGGGTGTGATTTAGTGACAGCTGTAGTCTTTGGAGGCTGTCGCAAGCCAATAGGACAACGGGCTAGCATTCCTTGAACACATAGACGTTGGCTGGAAAGCCACCAAACACTGGCTCATTACAGGCTGGACAGTGTGCTGGGCCTGAGGGCGACAAAGATGAGCGAGGCTTCATTCTGTCCCAGCTCAGAGCTTACAGGATCTGAGTGAACTGGGAGTCACAGGGTCTGGATGATGGGCACTTACTAGTAGGGCTGGCAGGAGAACTGAATCACTTCTATCTACTCTAGGGACTTATTTGAGGGGGGTGTGGACTGGAATGTCTGCACAAAGGTGACTTTATACTGGGTATTGAGGACAAGTTGGTCACAAATGCTGCCTGGCCTGTTGGGCATGGGGGCAGGAATATGCTGGGATCCAAATTCAGCCTCTAAGACCGCCTTGATGGAGAGCAAAGTTGGTGTTGAATTCAAGGCCCCCACATGTGCTGTGCGAGGGGCCTTTGGATACATTGGTCCTTCTGGATGTGCCTTAGTCCCCGACCCTCTTGCAAACAGAATCAATTAGGGAATACAGAACTGAAACTTGGCCCCAAGAGAAGCTGTCGTGGGCCAGGGGAGATGGAGGTGTGAGGATATTCTCCCTGCTCCCTTCCCAAAAGAGATCTCTAGTGCCCCCCCTCCATCTGACTGCAGCAAGGCATGCTGGGGTTCGGTGGCTCCAGTCCCTTTCTGAATACCCCTAGAGCTGGCCCAGCCGGTCCTCAGGGCCACACTGTGAGCTAAACCAGCCTCCAGCCAGAGATAAGGATAGGCAGAGTCTGTGGACACCGGACCACCAGGCCAGGCCATCTCCATGTGCTCTGCAAATGTTCTCTGTCCCTTTGGGGACGGGAGGGCACAAAGACAGGACTCCTATGGCTACTACTAGTAGCTGCCCCACCCCCAGCAACTCTCTGGGCCTGTCTTCATTCTGTTAAAAGGGCTCCTAAACACGCAGCTCCCCCCCCCGGCCACGCGCCCCCCCCCCCGGGGGGTGAGAGCTCTCCGTAGGGGGAAGAAGTTGAGGTGCAGAGAACTGAGGTCAAGGGTCACTGGCAGTAAGGAATAGAAGCATCTTTGGGCTGGCGTTGGGAGTGATGTCGTCATGCCTGTAATGCAGGGCTTGGAAGGCAGGCAGGAGGATTGCCAAGAGTTAGAGGCCAGCCTGGGCTACATAGTGAGTTTTAGGACAGTGTGAGCTACTGAGTGAGGCTCTTTCTCAACCAAAACAAACCAAAAAAAAGCTTTCCTGGTGGTGAGCTTG